ACTCACCTCAGCCTCCCAAAGGCGCGGGATTACAGGCTGAGCCACCGGAGCCCGGCTAATAAATCTATTTTTTATGATCCAGTGTTTATCTGTGTAACAAGAAATTCAGTTACTCCTCAATTTGTCACAATCTCAAAGGTCCAATCCAAAAAATCTACCTCTCAAAATATTTATTTTCATCTTTAAATTTATTGCATAGATAGAACAATACCACAGTTCAGTTTCAAAATTAAGTTCCTTGAACCAACTGTGACTTCTAATCACATCTATTATTTTAAAATTTTAATCTTAGTAAAGTCCAATTTTATAAAGCTCTCCCTCCAATAACCCTAAATTCTAAATTGATGGAATTTATCATCAAGTCCTTTGACTCTACCTCCAGAATAAATCTGGAATCTTGGACCTTTTTTCTGCCTCCGTAAATCATCCTTGTCCCCAGCCTTCATCACTTCTCTCCCATTTACTAAGCCTCTGCCTGCTTCTTTCCCTCTTCTGCGTCTCACAGACCCCCCCACCAACCCCGGCACCTGATATATGATGACATCCTGCAGCACCTGGAGATGGGCTCATGCAGATGACTAAGTCCTTCCCCGCCTCCAAGCTCTTCCTCCCAGTTCATCCTACAAGGAGCCCTAACGATCTGGCCCTTGTAATCCTCCACCATTACCCCATCCCATACCCCTTCCACCCCGCCCTCTCATATTAGCTCCATCTGCCTGCTTTCTGTTCTTCCAATATGCCACTCTAGTTCCTGCCTCCAGGCCTTCGCAACAGATGGTCTCCCTCTGCTGAGAGCACTCATCCTCTAGATCTTTGGACACAGGCTCCATTTTATCACTTAGATGCCAATTCAATGTCATTCCTCAGTGGCACACTGGCCAGCAAACTAAAGCAGTTCCTCTTTCTTTGTAGCACTTACCACTACCTGAGTCACTTGTGTTTTAAAATTTTTACATGTATTGCATTTTATTAAATCAAAATACTCCTATATTTCTAAACATCTTTTTAGTCAACAGGTTTAAAAAAAAGTTTTAGAATACTTCCCACTGACCAACAACATAGCAGCAGCAGTGAACAGGTATTAAATGTGACTACGTGTTGGGCTTGGCACTAAACGCCTTACATGTACCACCACATTTAAATCTTAATGGGGAAATTAAGGCATGGAGGAGTTAAACTGTTCAGTGTCACAGAACTAGTGCAAAAGCAGAGACAGGACTGGAATTAGGGTCTGACAGACTGCGAAACCCAGACTGTCCACCACAGTCCTAGCGCATTCTTGTCTGTCTCTGCTTTCTGGTTACTATGCTCTAGCTAAACCACAACACTCAAAATCTACAATCTGGTGACTAGCCACTTCCAGCACGCATCATACTCACTCTTTTCACGTTGTTGTCACCACCAAGGCAACCAAGAGCTTCTGACCTCTGAGCAAAGAACTCTCCTAAGGACAGACGTAAATAGCTGGCATCATCTCTGTCCAAATCTGATGTGCTAAGCGATTTTCTCAGCAGATTGTAATTAACTGCAGCTCCCCAGGATGAATCCCCAAGTGCAACTGAAGTGTTCTGAGCATCTATATTTTCTTCCTAGGGAGAAAGTTATTGTTTCATTTTTTTTCCTTAACCAACCACCTTTCTGTTCTTCTAATATGCAAAACCAAAATTAAATAACTGAAAGTGTAAAAAGTAATTTTTAAAACACTGAACAATTTGAACAAATTCAAGCATAAGTAGCTACTACAGCTAATGAAGTCCAGAAGAGAAAGTCATTTTTGAATATCTGAGCTATAACGTGCATTATCTTGAGCCAGGCAAGATGGTGCACACCTATAGTCTCCACCACTAGGGAGATTGAGGCAGGAGGATCACTTGAGCCCAGGAGTTCAAGACCAGCCTGAGCAACACAGCAAGACTCTATCTCAAATAATAGTAATATACTGCTTAATCAAACACTGATTGTCACAAATAAGAATCTTTAGAAAGGGATATATTTTCACAAAAAACAAACAAGATTACCTCATTTTAAAACATGTTTTTAAAACTACGGAAATATCCATGAAGATTATTGAGCAATTTTATGTGAATTAAAGATATATTTCAGTATATCAGTATTCTTCAGTTAATAATTTAGAGTATAAAAGTTGCTTAAACCTGAGAAAAATAAAAAAATAATTCTGTACTAACTAAATATACATATATATAATATATGTTCAGAATGAGATAAACATCTTGCCTATATTTAAATACAAGAAAAATTTTATACTTGGATAAAGCAATAATTACAAACCTGTATAAACTGATGTTCTTTATTAAATTCTTCTTCATCTTGTGCAATCAAATCAAATGCTTCAGCTAAAAAAAAGAATAAGTTTATATAATTACATTACACATATGCCTATTTAAACACTAGCACACAAATATAACTTAGCTAGTTAGGAAAACGAACTGAGAAAATAAAATTTTAACAAGTATGTGAAATCTTCCACTCAGATGACTGATGTATCTATATTAAAACACTTAAGTCTATAGCTATCAAACTTTTGCTAATGAACACCTTGTTATGACTGATTTTATCACTTACTAGCTTGTCATAATTTACTCAAGGGATTTTACAATGTAAACTTTCCATTTTCAAAAAATTCCAATTAATTTTGGCTTTGGAGAGTTTGGCATTCCTGAATTTAAGTACTTGCCCATGAACACTTGTGAAATTTTGTCTGAAATCATCAGACTGATACGCCTCATTAAAAGCTCATCATGAAGATATCTGCTAGGGTGCCCAAGTACCTGTTTGACCAAGCATGTCCCAGTTTGAGAAAGTCCCACATCCCAGAAAAACCCAGTCTGGGCAAACAGGGACTGGTCACCTAATGTCAGACTTCAGAGTTCCTGCTGAGCACATCAGTTTCTCCTGGAGAAAGAGTAGGAATTCTGAGTGTCGTGGTGCTACACGCTATCAGCCCAAAGGACAACCTCTGGGCCAAAGGACACAACTAAAACACACTGAGGCAGGGGGAAAAAGGCACAGAAGGTTGGGTTCAGGTAACACAACTGAGAGTGGTGGGTTAGTGGCAAACCAGGAGGCATATGATGCTGCTTGAGGTTGTCATCCTTTCCAACCTAGCTAGTGTTTGTTCCCTAAGCACAAGAATCGTTTCATTATATTTTTCTGTTATCTACTTCTATTTTATTTTTTAATGGTGATACATCTAATCATTCAAAATTCAAAAGGTATCTGTGTATTATACTTCAAATAAAGAGCTTTCCAAAGTTAACCAAAAGGCTTAAAAGGGTATACACTGAAAAGTATCTCCTATCCCTGAGCTCCCCATGCCTCCAGAAGCAATCAATGAATAAAATATTCCTGAAAGTCTCACCATCTGAGTCTTTTTATTTTTGAGTTCAAGTAGCTAGAGATTCCTGTAATCAGTTTTGTTTTATCTTTCCATTGTATGTACTTACAAATAAGTGTGTATGAGTGTCTTTCCCTATCTTTTCCTATCTTCTCACACAAATGTCAGAACACTTTATAAAACTTTTCCATTAGATTCTAAATAATTTATTTTGGTGTTCACTCCACACTAGTACCTCAAGAGCTGCTTTACTTTTTTGTATGGCCACAGGGTACTTCCTTGTATGGGTGTACCTTAACTTAATCAGTCCTCTACTCTGTACATCTACTTTGCTTCTAGCCCTGTTATTATACACAATGTTGCAAGTTATAGGCCTGCATATCCATGGTATACCATTTGTGAGGGCATCTGAAGAACAATTCCCAGAAGTATAATTGATCGGTTACAAGGTAGTGCATTTATAACTGACAAATGATGCAATGCTACCACACTTAAGAAGTTGTGCCAATGAAGGGACTAGAAGACTTGTTTCCTTCACATCCTTGCCAACAGTTTTATTACTTTCGGATGACTGCCAGGGAACTAATTAAAAAATGGCATCCTGGAGTGGATTTACTCTGCATTTGTTTCATGAGTGAAAAATGAACTTTTTATACACTTAATAAACATTTATTTCCTTTTCTATGAATTGGCTATTTACAAGCTTTGATTAGTTGGTCATTCTCTTACTGTTTACTAGAACTGTTTATATAATAGGGAAATGGGCCCTTGACCTGCAAATACGAATTGCAAATATTTTCTCAGTTTGATCACTAGGTTTTATTTTTACATAACAAAATAAATCTATTTATGATCACTTGTTTTTAAAAACTTCTGCATTGTCAACACACCAGATCAAGAAACATAACACTGCCAGTATTCAAAATGCCCCCTGAGCTACCTGCCCATCCAAGTGTCACCACCCTTACTTTTTACTCTCAAGAACAGTGCACTTTTGAATTGTATACAAGTAAACACACTGTGTATTCTAATTCTGCCTTATATTTCATTCAACCTATTCCCGAGGTTCATGTTGTTGCAAGGAGCTGCACATCATTCAACCCTCATTGCTATATAGTATTCCAATGTATAAATAAACACAATTCATTCCACTAGATTGTTTTGGTTTTGACAGTGAATTAGAACTATTCTACCATTGATGAGAATTTGAGAGGTTTCTAGTTTGAGGCTAATACAAATACTGCTGCAATAAACATTTTAGTATGTCTTTTGGTGAACATCTGCACCCTACCTGCTAGGTACTTACTCTGATATAGAATTATTAGGTCATAAAGTACGAGGTTCATAAAGTCCACCTTTACAAGATATTGTCACAGTTTTCCAAAATGGTTGTATCAATTTACATTCCCAGCAGCAACACATGAGAACTCCATGACTGTTGACTTTTTAAGTGACAAAATCGGTATCCACTGTTCAGTCTGTAACTCGATTGTTCTTTTTAAATCAAGACATCATTGAGCAAGACCTAATCGTAGCTTACCTTCCAACTTCTGACACATAATTCCACTACTGAATACACCCACCGCAAACCACATCAGCCAAAACCTACAATTTTTTTCTGACTTCTCATATCCCAGTTAAAGGTACTGCCATTTCCCCCAAGGAACTCAGACTATAAACCTTACTCTCTTCTCTTCTTGACTCTCTACTAGCCCCCAAAACAGTCGCCAAATTCTAACCACTGTTCTATATCTTTGACGAGTTACTCCTTGCTCATCTTCACTGCAACACTTAAATTTCTTTTTTTTTGCCCTTCTAAAGATTTGGGGTACAATTCAGGGTTAGGTATACACATGTTCATTATGCAGGAACCCTTGTTGATGAGGTGTGCCCCTCCCTCCCCAGGCAGTTTCCCTGAACTACCAATCCCAACCCCCGCCCCCATCTCCTGGCAGTTTCCCACTACTGCCAATCCCTTTCTTATAGTATTACAATAATTGTTCAAGGTCCGCTTATGAGTAAGAACATATGGTACTCAGTTCTTTGTTTCTGTGACAGATCACTGAGTATGATAGACTCTAAATCCATCCAAATTGCTGTGAAGTCCATATGTTTGTTCTTCTTTATGGCTGAATATTCCATTGTGTACGTGTACTTTTTTTTTTTATCCAGTCCAGTTTCAATGGGTAGCATGGTTGGTTCCATGTTTTTGCTACTGTGAATAGAGCTGCAAGAAACATACGTATGCAGGTTTCCTTTTTATACAATGATTTGAGCTCCTCCGGGTATATTCTCAATAGGTGGATTGCTGGGTCATATGGAAGATCAATTTCTAGTTCTCTCAGAAATCACAACACTGTCTTCCAGAGGTTGCACTAGTTTGCATTCCCACTAGCAGTGCAGAAGTGTTCCTTTTTCTCCACATCTTTGCCATCATTTGTTGTTTATTTTATTAATGACAGTCATTCTTACTGGGGTCAGGTGGTATCTTAGTGTGGTTTTGTTAGATTTCTCTAATGATGAGTGAGGCTGAACACTTTTTCATGTGTCTGTTGGCTGCCCATATATCTTCTTTTGAGAAATGTCTATTCACGTCTTTTGCCCATTTTTAATGGTGCTGTTTGTTTTTTTTCTTTCAGAGCTTTTGAGTTCCTTGTAGAACCTAGATGTTAGGCCTTTGTCAGATATACAGTTGGCAAATATTTTTTCCAATTCTGTGGGCTGTCTCCCTGTTCTCTTGATGGTTTCTTTTGCTTTGCAGAAGTTCGCCAGTTTGATGAGGTCCCACTTGTCTATCCTATCTCTCATGGTGTGGGCACTTAGGGTTTTGATCAGGAATTGGTTGCCAGTTCCAATTTCCATAAGGGTGTCTCCTGCATTTTTTAAGATTGTTATAGTTTTACGTTTAGGTCTTTGATCCACTTAAAGTTAATTTTTGTGTATGGTGATAGGTAGGGATCCTGTTTCAATCTTTTGCATGTGATCAGCCAGTTTTCCCAGCACCATTTACTGAATAGGTTCTCCTCTCCCCAGCGATGGTTGTTGGAGGCTTTGTCAAAGATGAGTTGGTTGAGAAATTGAGGCTTTGTTCCTAGAATCTCGATCCTGTTCCATTGGTGTATATAACTGTTCTTGTACCAGTACCAAGCTGTTTTGATTACTGTAGCCTTAGAGTGAAGTTTGAAGTCTGGAAGCATGATACTTCCTGCTTTGTTTCTTTTGCTAAGGATTGTTTAGGCTATTCGTAGTCATTTATGTTTCCGTATGAATTTCTGTAATGTCATTTCCAGGTCTGAGAAGAATGATGTTGGTAATTTAATGGGTATTGCATGGAATCTGTAGATGGCCTTTGGTAGGATGGATATCTTAACAACGTTGATTCTACCTATCCATGGGCATGGAATATTTTTCCATTCGTTTGTGTTGTGCCTTCTTAGATTTCTTTGAGCAGTGTTTTGTAGTTCTCATTGTAAAGGTCTTTCACTTCTCTGGTTAGGAAGATGCTGAGGTATTTCAATTTTTTGTGGCTATTGTAAATGGGATTGTACTTTTTATTTGGTTCTCTGCCTGCTTGTTGTTGGTGTATAAGAATGCAACTGTCTTTCGCACATTTATTTTGTATCCCAAGACTTTGCCAAAGTCCTTTACCAGTGCAAGCAGGTTTTTGACAGATTTTCTTGGGTTTTTGAGATATGGAATCATATCATCAGAAAAGAGAGATAACTTAACATCTTCTTTTCCTATTTTGATATCCGATTTCCTTCTCTTGTCTAATTGCCCTAGCTAAGACTTCCAAAAAAGTGTTGAACAAGAAGGATGAGAGTGGGCAGCCTTTCCTTATTCCAGTTTTCAAAGGAAAGGTTTCCAGTTTCTGTCAATTTAGCAATATGCTACCTGTGGGTTTATCATAGATGGCACTTATTTTGAGGTATGTTCCTTCCATACCTAGGTGTTTGAGGGTTTTTATCAAGAAGGGATGCTGGATTTTATCAAAAGATT